AGGAGAGTTGATGCTTTTGAGCTGTGGTGCTGGAGAAGAGTACTGAATGTACCATGGACTGCCAGGAAAACAGATTCATCTTGGAGAGGATTAAACCAAGCTACTCCTTGGAGGCAAGGATTCTGGGGCTTCGTCTGACATACTTTGGACATGTTGCCAGGAGGGACGATGGGTCCTTGGAGAGGGACATCATGCTTGGGAGGGTGGAGGGACAGCACAGGAGGGGAAGACCCTCTATGAGGTGGATTGATTCGGTGACTGGGGTAATAGGGATGGGTGTGTCAGAGGCAGTGCGGTTGGCGCAGGATAGAGCAGGGTTTAGGGCTGTTGTGCACAGAGTCGCTATGAGTCGCAAACGACTCAACGGCACATAACAACAACAACATTTTTACTGTCAACACATTTAGTGCCCCTTGTATCCTCCTAATGGATTGATCTTTTGTTTTGATATAATGTTCCTCTTTTTCTCTGGTTGTTTACTTTGATGTCTACTTTATCTAATACCAATATTGCCATTTCTTTTAAAAATTATTAATATGTGAATATCTTTTTCTATTGATTTTCCTTTCATCTACTTCTGTTTGACTTTAAAGTGATTGTGTGTGTGTGTGTATGTGTGTGTGTGTGTGTAAGCTGCATATTGTAGGGTTGTTTTCAATCCACTGGGTCAGCCTGTCTTTTGATTGGATAATTTTAGATCACTTCCATTATAATTGCTGTAGTTCTACACAAATAACATGTATGCTTTGTGTTTTGTTTTGTTGTTTGTTTTTTACCAATGCACACTTCTCCTGTGAAGCATTTTAAGAAAAAACACATTAATTTTTCATAACATGTATAAACATTGGCATTGCACACTTAACAAAAATATTGCATTAAAAAAACAAAACAAAACTACATATGGGGTAATCTTCAATATGAATTGAAGTTCAACCTTAAGTAAACAAAGATTCTTATCACTAAGCCAATTAGCAACTTCATGATGGATGTAGAAGAGACTGAGATTATTGATAACTTCAGCTTGCTTGGTTCTACTATCAACACTCTTGGCACCAGCAGTCAGGAAATAAAAAGACGAATTGCATTGGGAAAGTCTGTTGTCAGAGACTTCTCTAGAGTACTGAAGAGCAATGATGTCAGTCTGGAGACTAAGGTGCACATGATCCAGATCATATCTTCACAATTACTTGCCGTTCATCTGAGAGCTGGACAATAAATACAGATGATAGAAGAAGGATCAATGCCTTTGAGTTGTGGTGCTGGAGAAGGGTGTTTAACATACTGTGGACTGCTAGGGGATCAAATAGGTCTGCCATGGAGAGGGTGAAACCAGGCTGCTCCCTATATGCAAGGATTTTGAGGCTCACATTCTTTGCTTATGTGGCCAGGAGGGATCCAGTCCTTGATGAAGGACATCATGGTTGGAAGGGGGGAGGGTCAGCGCAGGAGAGGAAGACACAGGATGCGATGGATTAACAGTGACTGGAGAAATGAGATTAGATCTTTTGGAGATGGTGAAATTGGCTCAGGATAGGACAGGTTTCAAAGCTAGTGTACTATGAGTTGCAGGTGACGTGATGGCACATAAAAACAACAACAAGGGGTATGCTTACTTGGCAAACAAATGTAAAATGCCTATGTTGTTTACTTTAACAAATCATTTATTGTTATAGTAGTTATTTAGTCTACTATGACTTACATTCTATTTTCTCAGATTTTCATCTGATGTTTTCTTTCTTGGCTTTTTTAACACTATTTTATATATTTTTATAATTTCTTCCCAATTTACAGTAGTTTTGAGTATGTTTCTTTGTATCATTTTCATAGTGGCTGCAATGTATTTGTTTAATACCAGTAGATAAAAGATTGTTTTTCACTTTCTCCTCTGCGATTTAAAATGAAAATCTGCTGCTCTTCAAATTGGTATTCCTATACAGCAAATGCTCTAATTTCCGTCTAAAGTTTGATTATGATGTACCTTGTCAAGGGTTTCTTTGGGCTGTCATGTTGGAGTTCCATTCAGCTTCTCAGATCTCTAGGTTGGTGTCTTTTGCAAAATTGAGAAGCTTTCAATTATTATTTCTACTCGTGAAATTCTGATTCTAGAAAACTTGGCCACTTTATTATTGCCCCATAGATTGCTGAGACTCTGTTCATTTTTTTTTTTCAAGTGTATTTTCTTCTCTCTTGTTCAAATGGGATTATTTCGTTGTTCTGTCCACTTATTCATGGATTGAGCCTCTGTTACCTCCACTCTGTGGTTGAGCCCACTCAGCATGCCAATTTCTTATATTATAGTTTTCAGCTCTGTTGTTTACATACCTTTTAACTTCTTTTTCATACCTTCTAACTTCTTTGCTGAGAACATGTATTTTTCTAAACCTTCAAGAAAATCTGTAATTGTTGTAGTTTTTCCATGATGGCTGTTTCAAAATCCTTATCAAAAAATTCCCCCAACTGATTCCTCTTAATGCTAGATTCAGTTGACTGCTTTTCTCATTTCCTTGCACGACAGATGAGTTTTTTTAAAAAAGTACAACCTGTATATTTTGTGTATTATATTGGGAGACTCTGAGTCTTGTAAAGGAAATATTTAAATATTTTCTTTTACAAGCAATTACTCTGTTTAAGTTTAGTACACTTACCTTAGCCTACTTTTATTAGCCTTGGTTCTATACCAATTTCACTTTCAGAGCTGCTGTAATAGTGTGTTGTCTGCTGAGGCGCCCGCTAGTCTCTATGTTAGTGCTGCTTGAGCTGGCAGAAGGAATTCCCTCTGGCTAGGTCATGAAAAGTAACCCTGGCAGGACGAAAAGCAACCTTGGTTTGTTAAAGCAAATAACATGTGCATTTTACACTTGGTTGCCAAATAAGCCTACCTCTTATGAAGTACTTTTGTTTTGGTTTTGGCATGAAGTATTTTTGTAAGTGTGGGGAAGAAAGAAAAAAGAAAGCAAGCACTAAGCAGTTAATCGAAATGCCTAAAGTTCAAACTCCACTAGCAACTCCAAGGGAGAAGAATGGTACAGTCTCTTTTTGTACAGGCTTATACCTTTGGAAACCCTTCTAGGCAGGTCTCCTTTATTTTGCAAGTCACTATATACTGGAAGTTGTAAGGAGCTGTGCTACCAATCCAAATGCACATGTTCAAACCCAACAGCAGTTCTGTGGGAGACAAATGGGCAATTTCTTCCTCTTTGATTTACAATCTCGGAAAACTCGCTGGAGGGTCAGCCATAAATCAGTTCCAACTTGATAGTACATAACATTTGACAGCAGAAGGCTTTTTGGGTTGGGTTTGGTTCACCAAGTTAAGGTTTCCCATGTGCTAGATCCTAGATGAGATGGATTAACACAGCAACTGGGGTATTGGTGGTAGATGTGTCAGAGTCAGTGAGTGAGACTGGCTTAGGACAGGGCAGAATTCAGAGCTATATTGTACATAGGGTCACTATGAGTTGTAGGCAATGGCAAATAACAACAACAGTAGTCAGTGACTATAACAATGGGCTCAAGAATATCAATGCCTTGAGTTGTGGCATTGGAGTAGAGGACGGACTATTCCACAAACTACCAAAAGAACATGTAACCATGTCTTGGAGAAAGTGCAGGGTGCTCTTTCAAGGATGGTGAAGCTTCATCTCAAATATTTTGGACATGTTGTTAGGAGGGACCAGTGTTTAGAAGAAAGGACATGATGCAAGGAGGAGGGTCAGAGAAAGAGAGGAAGGCCCTCAATGAGATGGACTGACATAGTGATGGTAATAATGAGCTCAAGTATGTCAGAGATGATGAGGATGACACAGGATACGGCAATGTTCAGCTCCATTGTTTATAGGGACGCTATGAGTTGTAGTTGACTCAGTGGCACACAACAAAAAGACGTAGTATACCAGGATCTAAATAATCAAGCTTATACACACACACACACACACACACCCCTTTCAGAAGATTTCCTTCCAGTCTTCTTCTCAAGGTGTGTGTCTCCTTATCAAGCACTGATGAATTAAGAAAGCCATTGAGGGGGCTGGGAAAAAATTGCAAAGGAGGTAGAACTTATTATCATATTATTGGAAGAGCATCGTCTCTTCGTGGGGTTCCCTGCGTGGTAAGAGATGGCATAGATGTGTCTGGTTGGGAAATCTTAACTCTGGAATGCTGAGTGGCACCCGGAGAAAGGTGATGCCAGAATGACTCAGGTTGTTCCCCCTGCTCTGAGCCTTTTGTTCTGATGAGCCTTCAGTGGACAAAAAGCCTTAACACAATCAACAGCACCAAAGTAGCAAAACAGATGTTTATTTGGGTTAGAATTTTCAATCCAGTACAATTTATTTCTTTCCTGTTTCTTTAAATACTGTCATTCCCAGGAAACATTTAAAGGGGGTTTAATAGATGCATAATATACAAGAAAATATAAATTAGAGGTAGACCCCCCCCAAAAAAAAGAGCAAGAGCAAAACAAATGGAAAATTATTTCCTGTAATTTTCTACACTTGGATTAAATTGCCCGTAGGAACAGGGTCCAGGGCTTTTCCTGGGCCATCTCTAACTGGAAACACAGGAGGCAGCAGGGTGTCCTAATGTAGGTGAAGCCTCAGCACGTGCAATAGAGGGAGACAAGTTTCCAGGAACTATGACCAAAAATACCCCATAGATTTATTGCTCCTGAAACATCTGATCTCTTCTAAAAGATTCCTGAGTTCTCACTTTGCGAATTGCTGTCATCCTGAGCAGTGTGACCTAGTCGAAGACTTGGGCAGCTAAGTTCTTTAAAGATTACATTTCCATCAAGGTCCATTACCACTTAGAGACTGTATATACAAACAGCATGAGCCAAAGCTAAAGTGACAGTTATTAACTCCTTACACTCTTTTCTTTTCAAGTCTTCTGTTTGATTCTCAGCTTCTGAAACCAAACTGATACAGACTTGGAGGATCCCTCTAGAGTCAGCAGGAAATTTAGACGATGCTGGTGACACACTGGAACTGAGACGCAGCCACGTGCTTTGTCCAGGGACTAAATGACCACACTCCTTCCACTATGGGAGCTTTCTCTCTCCTGGGGGATAAAATAGGGGGGAAAGCTGGTCAGCTATTGTCCATGCATGTACTATACAAGGTTGGCTTGATTCATGTGTAAAACTGAGGTGACTGGGTGATTGTTGAGACAACATCTGAATCAAAAACATCTTTCTTGACTCTTCATGTGAAGTCTGTCTCTTCTATAGGCTTGGACTCCTCACCCCTCCTAGGTTCCTGATAGATCTCAAATACATTTAATTTCTTATAATTTATTCATTCTATCTCTTTCTCTGTATTCCCCCCTCCTTCCTTTTCCCCCCATCAACGTTTTGAGTCTCTCTTAGACTGAAAACAAAAATATTCTGTTCCATTCTTGGAGTTATAGCCTGATTCTCCAACCCCGCACTGTATTTTCTCCTGAATCATTCCTTCCCTCAACAATGGAAGGATTTTTTTTTTTTTACTTTTCAAAGAGAAGAGTGAATTGGGAGGAGGGGGGCAGGGAGAAAAGTGCAACAATGAATGAATAAAAATTTTAGGTCTCTGTAAAGTTTCATTAAAATTAATAATAAAAAAGAAAAAATGGGGGGGAAGTTCAAGTTCATCCTTTTTCATATATCTTGGAAGTTTCCTCAAATATCACTACCTTTTCCTGACCTAACTCAGTGGTTTTTCTTCAAAAATTATTCTGCCTGATCTTTGTGCACTTATTTACTTCATGAAGTCAAGGACTGTGGTTTGTACTGTTCATGTTTCTACAATTGTGTATTATGAAGGCTCATTATGCTTGTTTTTCATTGTCTACAAGTGTGATGTAGGAATATGACCTTTTCCTCTTACTTGAATTAGGAAGATAGGAGTCTATCCCAAAGTACACTGTTCAAAATGCCTCTTACATGTATGTACATTCAGATTGGTATATAAAACAAGATTTATTTGTGTTTCCAATTTTTCAGCAAAGTGAGTTTCAAGAATAGAGTCACCAAAATATTGTGAATGAATGCTTTATGATATGAAGGAAAGCAACAGAATGTGGCAAAAAGTGCTTTTCCAGGACTTGCTGAAAAGTACATGTCGACGTGATCAAGAACTAGACATTTTATTGGAAGTAGAGTAAAAATTCGGATCTGGTTTCTTTTTCATTACATCAAAGAGTTAAGGAAATAGAAAATAAAAACAACCAACCAACACTGGGATCTTCTACAGAAAGCTTTTAGCCTGGAGAGAAAAGAATGCAGTCCTTTCTCTTGATGAGAAGTGTGCACAGAGCAAGCCAGAAATGCCTTCAGGAGTCAGGGCAAGGTTCGGAGCATAAATTTGTCAAAGGAGGTCAGGAATGCAGGGGCCCTTTGTCGGTAGCCATTGGAGTTAATCACTTGAAGTTACTGCTTCTTGTATTTTCTGAGATTGTAGCTTTGGCAGCAGGAAGACTACCTAACATCTCTGACTTGAGAAGACCTCTGTTCTGGAATTGAGTGAGTGATCCTTCGACAAGATTTCCAATTATTCCTGGATCCAGAGACCTATTTGGGGTTCCTATGAGATCAACTGCACCAAAGCCTTTGTTTACACATACTAGTTTGATATCACTCTTGAGAGAAAGTTCCATGTAAGCCAGGTTTTTTGTTTATTTGCTATTACTCTGAATACCTATCAAGGCATTTTTAAATAATATTCTGTAAAAAATTTTGGTAATATTCTAGTTGCTGAAAGCTTGATTTCAGAAAATAGTGATCTATCTTTTCAACTCAAGGATTAAACAGAAATGTCAATTTATACACAATCGAAAGTCACCATCTAGTGGCCCATTGTAACTTTCTCAGTTTCTGTGACAGACTATAAAAGCATCTAGTTCTATCTACCCAAAAGAGGGAAGGAGGCATTCAAATGCAAATTACAAACAAAATTATGTTTTTCAAACCAACCACTCTGCCTCAGGCTTCACACTGAGCCCTCAGGCACTGGGTGGAAAGTAGAGTTTTAGAGTAATAACTGGGGGAAACATCACTGAAAGATTCTACATAAAAGAGGCTTTTAAAATGATCTTCAGCAAAGTCTTTACCTCTCAGAAACAACTTTACAACAGATATTTTGTTTTGCTTACAGTATAATTATTCATGTGGCTCCTTGCTGGTGAAGAAAATTGTGATAGTTCCAGATAATGAAAACGAAATAAGTCAGTAGAAAATACTAAAGTCCCCACATGATTCTCTTCTCTCTGATATTTAAAAGGGCACAGACATGAGAGTATGAATGCTAGCTTCTAGTTCTGGCTTCACTCCTTATAGGCTATGCGACATTGGCCATATTACTAAATCTCTCTGAGTCTCACTGGGTTCTTGTGAGGACAAAATGAAATAAGGTTTGGAAAGGCCTTATTCTTGTGATTGGGATAGAATTGAGATGATAAAAATGTTAGGCTGCTTCCTATCATCCTCTTATAAGTCTTTCACTCACAAGGAACTCCATACTTTAAGTTATAAAGAAGAATTGAAATGTTGTTTGGATCTAGGGCCAAAACTAATTTTTTTCTTGCTGTTGTTAAAATAAAGATGAGACATGGTTTAGTCACTATCTGAATAAAAAGCTATTGTCTAAGCTCTGACAGATTAGTTGTTTTCTTTCAGGCTGTTATTTTTAGACTGTCTTTCAGATTATTACTGGTAACCATCAAGAAATAGGATTATCTGTAAAATGAGGATAACATTACAAACCTCTAGTGTTATTGTTGTTATTTTCCTCTGAGTCTAAAATGACTCACAGCTGAACTCTCCATCAGGTTTTCTGAGGCTGTAAATTCCATGGGAGGAGACAGCCCATCTTTCTTCCATGGAGCAGCTAGTGGATTTGAACTGTGTGCTTTTGGGTTGGCAGCACAATTCCTTACCACTAAACGACTAGAGCTCCCATAACAGGGTTATTAGGAGTAGTAGGAGCATTAAGGGAGACATTGCATAAGAAGTCATCCGTAGCCTAGAACCACTTAGTAAAGGATGACTATGCTCACTCTACTGGCCTTTCCCTCTCTCACAGGACACCTGTGAGCATGAAGTATGACTGTCTCGGAATGTTTCACACACGCATACTGGACCTCCTAACTCTTCTCCACTTGTTACTCTCTTACTGAGCCTCTGCGCTTATAGGATAGCAGCACCAGGCTTGCCGCAGGGGCCTGGCCCTTTACACACACCGTCCATGTGACTGGTTTTAAAACAAACCACAGCAGAACTTGTGCTTTCCAATAAGAGTTGTAACTTTCAAAGCCCATGAGAGATTAATATCTTGTTTTTCTAATACTCCCCTACTCTGGGATCTTCCCTCTGAGCCTGCTGTGTATCACAGTAAAGAGAAAACGAAGAGAAAAAGATTTTAGTCCAACAGATGACTAGATTTTCATGGGTCTCTTGTACTGTAAGTTGGCTCTAAAGAGAGTCCAGCAGTGTTTTTGAGCCCCTGAAATCTAATATTTCCAAGCGATAACATCAACCGAAGCCTTCACGTGGCTGTATTAAATGGTTTCTAGAAGTTACATCTTCTAAAAGGTGTATCTTAAAAGGTCCAAAATGCCTTCCATCCTTCAGGATCACTTTTGGTAGGACCATGGAGCTGCTCTCCCTCCCTTTTCCCAGAAGAGCCATAGAAATGATCAGACCATCCACTGCAACTGTTTGTCTCTGTCACAGCTGCAAAACCATTTCCTCTTCCTTCCCCAGGAATAACTATCCAAGACCCCCGACCTGCTCCCTTTTTTTCTACCAAGCACCTGCGAACATCTTCACTCCCAATTTCCTTGCAAGGCAGTCTACAAACCCTCTCTACCTTTAAGTGGAGGCTGATCTCTACTTTGGAGTCGGCCCAGCAGTTTCTCCTCAGAAAACTGTCTTTCGTGACCTGAACTTGGTTCTGCCCTTGCTCGGTGACCTTGCACCTTTCAGGCTGGAAAATCAGCACTGACATCCACTGGTACCTCATCTGTTCATAGAACCCTAAAGTGTTTACTCCTATTTTAGAGATAATCTGTTTTGCCGCCCCCCGCCCCCAGTTGGTGCAATGGTCCTTTCTAGGGGATCTCAGGAGGCCCCACCCTCACACGCACTAGGACTTGCATGCTGGTTTGCACGGCCCAGAGCTGCACAAGCATGCTTCATTGGGCAGCGTCATCTAATTTGGGGTATGGAAATGTGATTGCTAAGTAAAGTGAGGTAGCTACCACAGGAGAAAAAGCTGTAACCATGCAGGCTTGGGTTCAGCTCCTGGCTCTGCTACTAAGAACTTGCACATTCATTCTGAGCTGCTTCTTCATGTGTGAAAAGGAGATCTGCTCCACCTGTCTCACATGACTATGAAGTGAAACTGAAGATGAGGCCCTTGGAGCCTCAAGCCTGTCCCTGCACCCTGCTCTCTGCACTGACTAGCATCCAATACTACGTCCCTTCTAGCTCTAACAAGGGGTGTCTCACTGTGCCCATCAGGCACCATGCACAAACTAAAGACCAAGTACCCTCCCTGGTGCCTGAGGAGCCCCGTGTCAGCCAGGAAGGGTCCTGTCTGCCCGCTCCAGACCCTCGACAACATGCCCCAGGCTCACCGAGCGCCTCTCCACACTCCCTTTTTTCCTGCCATTCTTTCCTGGAATGACATCCAGTGAGCGGTAGCTGGGTGGTTTCTCCTCAGGCCAGTTTGGGGAGTGTGAACGTCTGCGGTGGGTTCCCCTGCTCCTTGGGGTCTCCTTCTCCTCCTCAGAGCTCCAGGAACTGAGTCCAGAGGGCAGAGGAGGAGAGTAGCTGCGGTGCCTGCGTTTCCTGTGCCTCTGGGCACTCTCCCGGGGGCTGGGCCTGCGAGGCCTCTCAGTATAGTGGCCTCTGGGAGGGGGGCGGCTGGACCGCCAACGTGCCTCACTGGATGAGGGGCCATCGCTGAGGCTGTCCCTGTCTGACCAGGGTGTGGGGGAGCCCTGCAGCCTGGAGCCACGGTGCCTGCCCTGCCTCCAGTGGTCCAGTTCCCTCTGCTCTAGCACCCAGACCTTGGGCCAAGGGTCTTGAAGCTCCTGGTGGAAATCTGAGTAGCGGTGCTGCCTTCTCCCCTCCCTCAGATCCCAAGGTCCAGAAGGGATGTGGGGGGGCCATTGCTGGTGCGAGGAGTCACTAGTCCTCTGTGAAGACGGCAGGTCCCTGACCAGCGGAGGCAAGTGGATGATTCTGCGTTCCATGACCTCGGAGCTCAGGGAGGACAGCTTGCTGTGGAAGTGCCCAGATCTGGCTTTAAGGTCAAGGGGCAGAGGCTGAGCAGGGTTGAGATTTCGTAGCTCCTTCTCCAAATACTCTAGAACACCATTGGCAATGGGAGGGGGAACAGCAGTCTGGGTCATTGGCATCTGTGGGAGACTGGATCGCAGGGACAAATCTGAATGGGAACAAGGAAAAAGAATATGCATAATTGCTGACCCCAAACAGTGCTCCTGGAATCAGCGCACTAAAATGTCACATTATTTAACAGGAATCTGTTCCTTCCACCAGTCATAAAAATACCCACCATAAAGGTCATGGGAGGTCCCAGTCAGCCCAGGTTCCTACCCATGCCCTCTGCCCTCCCGACCACAAGTCCTCCTAGCAAGGTTTACCTCGCTGCAGCAGCGGGTTCATTGGGTAAGATGAAACCTGGGAGCTCCTGTCCGCCCCCCAGTACAGGGGTTTTTCCATCATCTGAGGGATTAGGGCCCGAGCCTGCTTCATGTAGCGGTGGCGGGCCAGGGCTGCAGGGGAAGAAGGGGGGAAATGCAGACCCTCAGCCAGGGCAAGCCCCACATCCCCCACCTCACTTCTCTCCACCAAACAGCCCTGCTAAGGGGCCACTCCCTCTCCTCCAAGTCCATGTGACCTACCTTAAACCGGTTGCCATAGAGTTGATTTCTACTCAACTTGAGAGTGAGTGAGTCAGAGTAGAATGTGGTCAACAGGGGTCTCAATGGCTGATTTGTTTAAAAACACATGGCCAGATCTGTCTTCTGAAGTGCCTCTAGGTGAATTCTGACTTACAATCTTTTGTTATGGGAGCTCTGGTGGCCTAATGGTAAGGAGCTACACTGCCATCCCTAAGGTATGTGGTTCAAATCCACTAGCTGCTCCACAGGAGAAAGATGGACATTCTCCTGTGAAAGCCCACTGGAGGCTCAGAGATGGGTCAGTTCCAACTCCATGGTACATAACAACAACAACAACAACAACAATCTCTTGGTTAGCAACTGAACACATTAACCACTGATACGATCCAGAACAAAACAAAACAAACAAATAAAGAAATGTTTAAAAACTCAAACTTAATGGCACTGAGTTTATTTCTGCTAACAGAGTCCCTCCATTGGGTTTCTTGGGCTGTAAATATTATTTTGGGGGCAGTGCTTGGTTTTTTTATTGGTATGCATACAAGAGTTCATTTACATTGTGTTTCATTCCTGTACATTGTGTTTTATACTATCCTTCACTTACATTTTATTTCATACAATCTTTCATATACATTGTATTTTGTATCATCCACCACCATTGGTCCATGCCCATCATTATTAACACTTCATTATGAGTCTCCATTGAAGTTTTCCTATTCCTTCACACCTGCAGTCTGCCTGGCAAACTTAAGGCTGTAAACCTTAATGGGAGGAGACTATCCATTTGTCTCTTTCAGAGTGGCTGGTGGATTTTAACCACTGGAAACATGCAGCTTTTGGTTAGCGGCACAACATTAACCACAGCACTAGGGAGTACACCAGGAGAAAGAAGTTAAGGAAGTAGTAAATCAATTGTCCTTTTGAAAAGAGCTTTGAACAAATTCCCTGGGTAAAACAACGATTGTACCTCAAGAAATTATATTCTTCAAATTTGACTTCTTGGCATTAAAACATTTCACCATTCCAACCATTCCCAAGGTCACCTAAAGTTTAGCATAGTCCTAGGCAGTTGTGATGCTAGCCCAAAGACACTATTTCTCTGGTAGTTCAAGTCCACAAGTGGCTATCTGAGAGAATGGTGGGCGATTTACACAATTTACAGCCTTTTAAACTCACTGGAGGGCCAGCTATGAATTGGACCTGATTCAAAAGCATTAAGTGAGTTAACACTCATAGTTGCCATGAAATCTCTGCCACAGATACAAGTCCCCCAGCCACAGGCCAGAAATAGAACAAATGCAAAGGGTTTAAAAAAGCCATGAACTTGCTGAGACTTTGACTATAGCAGTTGGTCTTATACCAGAGGCATCCACCAGGCTCGAGCCTTAGCTAAACTTTTCCCCAGTAACTCTTTTGAAAAAGTAAAATGTGCAACTATGAATTAATGGAGAAAAATGAAATGGAAAGAATATGCTGAAAAAAATATATATGTTGCATTAAAAAATTAGTAAAAAACCATTTTTAAACAAGGGGTTTAGTTGTTTTTGTTCATGTTTCTATTTCTAGGTCATTCTGACTAAGGCATGTGTCTCCCAAGCTGTCTGCCTAGCCATGCATGTAGGAATACATTTAAATGCAGGAAGTGGCTGCTTCAGATTGTTAACAAGGCCAGCCACCAACCTGGCACCCCCATGGCCTCCCTTCTTCCCCCAATCCCTTAGGTCCTTTGCTTTCCAGTGGATTCCACTTCTAGCACTCCTTTAGGATAGAGGAGGGCTGTAGGTTTCCAAGGTTGCTATCTTTAGGGCAGAAGCTCTGATGGCTTAGTGGTAAGACATTGTGATGCCAGCACAAGGCAGGTGGTTTGAATCCACCAGCTGCTCCATGGAAGAAAGATTGTCAATCTCCTCCTCTGCTATTTACTGCCTCTGAAAGCCCACTGCTGGGTCAGCTATGGATTGGTTCTGATTCAACAGTGCACAATAACAACAATTTTCAGAGAGGAAAATTTTCATGGCCTAGAGGTAAGGAACTGCACTTCCAACCCCAAGTATGTGGCTCTAATCGCTGTTCTGCGATAGAAAGATGGACAATCTCCTCCTGTGCGATTTATTGACTGACTCTGAAAACCCACTTGGAGGGGTCGCTATGGGTTGGTTTTAACTCAGTGACACATAACAACAACAAAACAATCTTCAGGGAGAGGAGCTCTCATGGCTTGTGTGTTGGGCTGCTACCCCAACAGTCACTGCAGGAGAATGGTAGGCAATCTTCTCCCGAAAAGCTTTTCAGCTTTGAAAACTCCATAGAGGGTCGATATAAGCCAGAATCCGCTTGAGGACAGTGTATTTGGGGGTTGGGTTTAATCTTTAGGGAAACAGAATGCCACAGGGTGGCATAACTAGGTTTGGTATCATCCAGTGCAGTAACTCAGGGTGTTACCACCTCCATTTTCACCCACATGGGACTAGCCAGCAAAACACATCCCCATCTCTTTCTTTGAGTCTCATTCCTGCTCAGTGTTGCTATGTCCCGTCTCTTCCAGACAGATTCGCTGCCTTCCCTTCCCACCTCTCTTTCCCTTTTCCATTGGCCAAGTTTGAGACCCTCCGTTCCACCTCGTGTGTGTGTGTGTGTGTGTGTGTGTGTGTGTGAGAGAGAGAGAGAGAGAGAGAGAGAGAGAGAGAGAGAGAGAGAGAGAGAAGGGGTTAATGATTTAATGATTTACTGTACTGGGAGAGGAGTGACACCAAACCTAGATATTTCTCTGTCTGGGTGTGGACACTAATCTGACTGCTACTTCCACTGGGGACTCTGGGACCTTAGTGCCCTTTCTTGGCCATTTCAAGGGATGTGGTTTGCATCTGTGTTCATGTGTGCACACACATATATGTTACACACACCCCCTCCCCCGTATATTAGTGACACTACTGCTCCATGGTGGTGGTGTTAAGTGCTATAAAGTCGAGTATGACCCACAATAACCCTAGAAGCAACAGATCTGAACCCTGTCCTATCCTGGACCATCCTCATCAACTCTGACACACCCGAGCCCATTGCTGCAGTCACCGTGTCAGTCCATCTGGTTGAATCTTCCTCTCTTTGGCCTACAATTAATTTTACCCTGCAGGGTTGTTAGGAGTCAGAATCAACTGGGACATAATGGGTTTAACTAGTCATCAAAGGAATCTTTTAGTGTGGGAGTCAGATGAGGAAGTTAGGGCTCAGAGGTGAACTTCTTAGGCCAAGATTTCCCCGAGAGCAAAGCACAGAGTGTGAATGTGTGAACAGCCAAGACTGTGCTTTTCCTATCATACTAGGCTCCCAACTCAGTCACTTCTGTGAAGAAGCAAAAGACCATGCCCAAGGTATATCTTCATTTTCGTTCTCTTCAATTCGCCTCCTTATCTTTCAAAACTCATTCCAGACTAGAACCTGCCTATAGTGTCTGTGGTCAACTGGTTCCGTTAAGGACAATTTTTTCTCTAATCTACCCTCTGCATTTAAATTAAACCCTGGCTTCCTCCAGAAAGAAGGACATTTTTGCCACTTCCTTCTTCACGTCCCTATTTCAGTGGTGAGGAGAAAGGAGAGTTGGGCTTACTCCATGCCTCTCAATTACTTCCTTTCCTTTTTTCCATAAATAATATAATTTGTAGCGATAACTCCCTGGATACTTTTCAGGTCCTCTATTAGCTTTCCTATCATTTTCCTTCATACTTGAGAGACCAGCTCACATGTTCCCTTCTTGGCTACAACAATATTTTCCCCAGGGTCTTTCCCTTTCCTAATGTACTAGCATTGAGGGGATGCAAGGAAATAAGTATCTCTGTCATTCATCTAGTGAGGCACAAATGAGACAATAAAGAGAAACATAAAGAAAGTAGCAAAGAGTCAGAAGCATCAGCAAGTCATTTCTGAATTTCAATGGACCAGAGTCTGCTTTCAAAAAAAAACCAAACAAAAAACAACTCAATGGTCAAGTTATTTATAATTCATCAGGACCCTCCACTGAGCTTCTGAGGCTGTAAATCACATGGAAGGGAACTGTTCATCTTTCTCCTTTAGAGCAATTTGTGGACTCAAATACCAGAGATGCAAAGTATTTGGTTTAAACCCATTAAGGGCAATATCACCAGAGCTCCCTAAATCTGCCTTATTGTTGTTGTGTGCCATAGAGTCAGAACTGACCCATAGCTGGCCCTCCAGTGGGTTTTCAAAGGCAGTTAATTGCACAAGAGGAGATTGTCCATCCTTCTCCTCCGGAGCAGCTGGTGACCTCACACCGCATGCCTCTGGGATTGCAGCACAGGTTCTTACCACTAGGCCACTTGTTGTGTGCTGTCGAATGGCCTATAACTCATAGCAACCCTATATACAACAGCCCTAAACCCTGCTCTATCCTGTACCAATATCACTGTCTCCAACACACCTACCCTCACTAGCCTACTCATGGAATCATTCCACCTCATATAGGGCCTTCCTCTCCTGCTCTGTCCCTCCACTCTCCCAAGCATGATGTTCCTCTCCAAGGACTGGTCACTCTTTACAACATGCCCAAATGGAGCCTCAGAATCCTTGCCTCCAAGGAGCAGCCTGGGCCACTAGAGCTCCCTAAATCTGGCTTAGTAACTTTTCATGATCTTGTTGAAAATAAAGATTGCAAAGTCCTATTCCCAAAGATGCTTTTTGATAAGTTAAAGGTTCCAAAGCCCTATTCCCAAAGATGTTTTTGGTATGTTAAAGAGAAAAAGTGCAACAATGAATGAATGGAAATCCAAAGTCTCTGCAAACTTTCACTAAAATTAATAATAATAATTTAAAAAAAGAAGCATCACCCATGGTGGACAGACTTCAGTAGAGCTTACAGA